GTGTTAGGTGCATATATATTTATAAGTGTTATGTCCTCTTGGTGGAGTGTCCCTTTTATCTTTGTATACTGCCCCTCTTTGTCTCTTATTGCCTTTTTTTTTTTTTAAAGGCAACTTCTCCCCCCGTTTTTTTTTGAGGAAGATTGGCCCTGAGCTAACATCTGTTGCCAGTCTTCCTCTTTTTTCTCCCCAAAGCCCCAGTACATAGTTGTATATCCTAGGTGTAGGTCCTTCTACTTCTTCTATATGGGATGCTGCCTCAGCATGGCTTGATGAGCAGTTAGTAGGTCCACACCCAGGATCCGAACTGGCGAACCCCGGGCCATTGAAGCAGAATGTGTGAACTTAGCCACTATGCCACCAGGCTGGCCCCTCTCATTGCCTTTTTTTTTTTTTTTGAGGAAGATAGGCCCTGAGCTACCATCCATTGCCAGCCCTCCTCTTTTTGCTGAGGAAGATTAGCCCTGAGCTAACACCTGTGCCTATCTTCCTCTGTTTTGTATGGGGGACACTGCCACAGCATGGCTTGATGAGCAGTGCATAGGTCCATGCTCGGGATCCGAACTGGCAAACCCCAGGCCGCCAAAGTGGAGCACGTGAACTTAACCACTACGCTGCCAGGCCAGCCCCCTCATTGCCTTCTTTATCTTGAAGTCTGCTTTGTCTGATGTTAAGTATGGCAATATCTGCTTTCTTTTGTTTGCCATTAGCTTGGACTATTATCTTCCATCCCTTCCCTCTGAGTCTGTGTTTGTCTTTTAGGGCTGAGATGTGTTTCCTGGAGGCACCATATTGTTGGGTCTTGTTTTTTAATCCATCCAGCCACTCTGTATCTTTTGATTGCAGAATTCGATGCATTTACATTTAGAGTGATTATTGAGATATGAGGGCTTAATGCTGCCATTTTATCACTTGTTTTCTGGTTATTTTGTATTTCCCTTGTTTCTCGTCCCGTGTATTTCTGACTGCCAGTTCAGTTTGGTGGTTCTCTGTGATGGTTTTCTCAGTTGTCTCTTTATTTATCATTTTTGTCTCTGTTCTGATTTTTTGTTTAGTGATTACCATGAAGTATAAAAGACCTCGTAGATGAGGTAATCTATTTTCTGATAGCCTCGTATTTTCTGAGTCTAAGCAGGTTCCATCCCTTTCTGCTTCCCCATCTAAGTTATTTTTTTCACAACTTCTTCTGTTTTGTGTTGTGAGTTTTTGATTAAAATGAAGTGATTACAGTTATTTTTGACGTTTTCCTTCCCTTTATCTTTATAATTGTTTGCTAACCTGTTCTGATAGAGAGCTGCAGTTTTCTGATTTTGTCTATTTATCTCCTTGCTCAAGGCTTGGTAAACCCTTTCTTTTTTTTTTTTTTTTTAGGTATGAGGGCCTTCTTGATCATTTCTTGTAGGAGTGGGTCTTGTGGCAACGAACTCCCTCAGTTTTTGTTTATCTGGGAAGGTTTTTATTTCTCCATCATATGGATATTTTTGCTGGATAGAGTATTCTTGGCTGAAAGTTTTTGTCTTTCAGAATTTTGAATATATCATTACACTCTCTCCTATCCTGTAAAGTTTCTGCTGAGAAATCCACTGAAAGCCCTAGGGGTTTCTTTGTAAGTTATTTTCCTCTGCCTTGCTCCCCTTAATATTTTTTCTTTGTCATGGGCTTTTGCCAGCTTTACTAATATATGTATTAGAGAACGTCTTTTTTACATTGATGTAATTAGGAGTTCTATTAGCTTCATTTACATGTAATTCCAGCTCCTTCCCCAGGTTTGGGAAGTTCTCAGCTATTATTTCTTTGAACAAGCTCTCTGCTCCTTTTTCCCTTTCTTCTCCCTCTGGAATAACCATAATCGTTATGTTGCCTTACCTAATTGAGTCGGATATTTCTCAGAGAATTTCTTCATTTCTTTTTCGTCTTAGTTCTCTCTCCTCCTCCATCTGAAGCATTTCTATATTTCTGTCCTCTAAATTACTAATTCTTTCCTCCATAATATCAGCTGTGTGATTTAAGGAGTCCAGATTTTTCTTTATCTAATTCATTGTTTTTCATCTCCAACATTTCTGATTTTTTTTTTAGTTTCAATCTCTTTTGTGAAGAATTCCCTCTGTTTGTTAATTTTATTCCTGATTTCATTGAACTGTCTTTCTGAGTTTTCTTGTAACTCATTGAGTTTCTTTATGATAAGTGTTTTGAATTCTCTGTCATTTACATTGTAAATTTCTGTGACTTTAGGATTGGTTTCTGGAGATTTGTCATTTTCCATCTGATCTGGAGTGTTAATGTATTTCTTCATGGTGTTTGATGAAGTGGACCTTTGCCAGCACAAAGTAGTAGTATCTGGTTGCATATTCCACCTGCCACCACTGGGCAGGGCAGGAGCTGTGTTTTCTGAACCCGCCACTGGAAGTTGTGACTGTCCGCTGGAACCTGTGCTAGCAGGGCCCATCTGCGTCTGTCTGCTGGCCACCACTGCCTGGCAGGTGACACACGTAGGCTCAGGCACTCTGGCGCAGATCTATGGCTCTGGCCAGCTGGCCAAGCTGGTGCGCCAGGCAGGAGGGGAGGGCAGGGGTGCCCTGCCCTCTTTCATGCACAGAAGCCTGCTCTTCACTCACCAGTGCCCTGCCTGGGTGCTGGGCTTGCTGGGGGCACCCACGTGGTGGCTAAGCCACTTCAGTGTGGAGCGCCCGCACGGGCCGGGATGTAACCCTGAGAGCAAAAGTGTTCATGTGGAGGCCTTCCCACTTCTCTGCCTCCTCCCAGAGTTGCGCACTGGCTGCTGCACGTGGAGCTGCGACCTAGATTGCTGCTGCTGGGGAGGGGGAGGAGATCCGCTCACCAACTCTGCTTCCCGGGGATCCAGTACCCCCACCTTCAGGTGTATGGCTGCATGGATCTCACAGATGTCCTGTTTTGCTATGTGGATATCCTCTGTTGGTTCATCATTGTCCTTTTGGTTATATCTTTGTAGGGAGAGACTAAGGGAACAGCTCACTCCACTGTGTTGCGACATCACTCTCTCCAGACTTTTTAATACAAGTGCCGCTAGACTTCTATAAAGGTGGGGCCAAAAGTGACAGGGATGAAAGGCATAGTGGAATTAACTGAGATCAAAATTCTCGGTAATTCTAGGTGGTGTCAGAAGGCTTTATGAGAGTAGTCTTTAGAACTTTTGTTTGAGGTTCTAGTGGAATTTTGGCAAAGAGTTGTTTTGCTCATGTTGCTGCCATTGAAGAAAGCTCTGCTCAGATGAGGAAGGAAAAATAAAAAGGTAGTAAAATGAAGGTGGGGGCAGTATTTTTACCAGATTGTTAAGGATAACTGGAGCATCAGTATTCTAAAAGGAGTATTTTCCCAATTATTTTGTATTTATTAAAATGTGCAGGGGCCGGCCTGGTGGTGTAGTGGTTGAGTTCGCATGCTCTGGTTCGGCGGCCTGGGCTTCACAGGTTTGGATCCCAGGTGCAGACCTACACACCACTCATCATGCCATGCTGTGGCGGTGTCCCATATAAAGCAGAGGGAGATGGGTATGGATGTTAGCCCAGGGCCAATCTTCCTCAGCAAAAAGAGGAGGATTGGCAACAGATGTTAGCTCAGGGTAATGTTCCTCACCAAACAAAAAAAAAAGGGGATTCAGGGGCTGGCCCAGTGGTGTAGTGATTGAGTTTACGCGCTCCGCTTTGGTGGCCCGGGGTTCGCAGTTTCAGATCCCGGGAGCGGACCTACGCACTGCTTGTCAAGCCATGCTGTGGCAGCATCCCACATACAAAGTAGAGGAAGATTGGCATAGATGTTAGCCCAGGGCCAGTCTTCCTCAGCAAAAAGAGGAGGATTGGCAACAGCTGTTAGCTCAGGGCCAATCTTCCTCACACACACACAAAAAATGTGCATTCAAAGTAGACTTCCATAATAAGGTTAGCAAAATGTTGGAAAGCATGAGCTTCCGCATTAAATACACATATAATGTACCACAGTTTGTTATTTTTGTGATAATACAGTAATTGTCATTCAATTACCTTAAACTACAAATTAAATCATGTATATAAAACACATTAAACCCGTCAGATGCAACAATAACAAAATGACCCAAGATACATAAAACAAATTTTTTCAATACAACTAAAGTGTTATATACTTTAAAACAAAATTTTCAGCATAACTGAGGATTTATTATGTACTTAAAAAATTGAACAAGTGATTCTTGGAAGACACATAACAACAGAGATTCCTGGGAAGTTAATGCTCATAAATTTATAAACCCATGTTGATTCAAGTTCAGCAAAGGTTGGGGATAAATATAATTCTCCTTTTCAGGTTAGATTTTTAATAGGCAATTTTCCCCTGTTCCCCTCACCTCTCCGCTATAGTTGCCTCCCCTCCTTTTCTTTTTAATTTACTTCTAAAACTTATGTTAAAATGTCTTGTAATTTTTAAAGGCTAACAGTGGTGTGTAGTGACCTTAAGAACAAAGTTAAATACCAACCCCCAAATATCAGTCAATGAAGTTACTGTGGAGGAAATCACACAGCTAAGAACCGAAAGCCATCTGTTCATGGCTCCATTCCAGTGTACCTGCTGTTCTAAAGGATTAAATTCCAGTTCCTTCAGTGGCTGATAACTGAAGGATCGCTGCCAGGTGTGGGATACAGTACCTCCTCCAAATCAGATTAAGTCTGTGATGTGGTCATGAGGGTCACTTTTAGTTAGCAAGGAGAACTCGTTCACGCTACTGTGCGTTTCTCTCGTCTCTCATTATTTCCTTAATGATTTTATATTTAATTGTGTACATTTTTGTTTCTCTGATAACTTATTGATAAACTTTTTGAGGGTAGGGATTAGTTTCTTAGTCATATTAATGTCCTGCTGCCTAGAATAATACCTTAGTCTATACCTTAGTCTTACCAAACACTCATAAAATATTTAATTGAAGTAATCTTTTATCTAGTTATGTTCTTTTTTGCCTTCTAAAGTCTTAAATTAATTTCTTTACATTGTAGATGCTGAGAAAAACGCTTAAAGGGTCTGAAAGTAAAGAACTGGAAGTAACACCTGAGGCACCCACTTTGGTGCCGTTTGGGGATGTGGTATGTATGACTAATCCTCAGTAAACCTGTACAGATTACTCCTTATTTCGTATGAAGACTGGTAATGTTTATTACTTGGTAAGCAAAAAATATGTGTAGAGAATGCTCCTCTCTGATAACAGAATCAGAAAAGCAGTCTAAAAATCATTGAAATCATGGAAAACATCTTGATTCACATACAAAAAATGTTTTCTATACTAGAGATTCTCAGACTCTAGTTACATCAGAATCATCTGGGATACTTTTTTTAAAGACATTGATTCGTGGGCCCCACCTAAGATCTGCTAACTTCGAATTTGAGAATGGGGCCTAGAAATCTGTATTTGTATTGAGCTCTTCAGGTGATTGTATTTATTGTCAGATTTAGGAACCTTTGAGCTACAGTTTGAAAATTGACCCCACACCTCTCCCTTATCCAAAAAATAATAAACCCCAGAAACAAAAGTAAACACACTCAGCAGTTGTACACATACACACAAACACACAGGTAGGATCCAATGTCTAGGCTGAGAATCAGAAAAATCTGTTTTTCTTTTGGGTGCTAAAGAGTATAGGATATGAGGATCTATGTACGTTTAGAACTGTCAGATATTGTGGTATTCTTTATTACAGTTAAGCTTTCTTTTCTGAACATTATTAGAATAGTTAGGGGGTGTGAAATGAGAATCTCTTTTGTCCCTCTTCTCTAGCTCATATCATATACTAATACATTTTCTTGATTAAAAAATATATGATGAATTTAACATCACCTTTTTTGGGGAAAAAGTTAGTCTATGTTAATGAGTACATTTTTGTTTTTACAAAGTGACTGAGGTGTGCATTTATCCATATAATTATATAACACTTTCTTGCCTATATCACCAAGTTAGAGTATAAGCCTTCACTGTCTGAATCTAAACTTAGAAAACGTTGTTTGAAATCACTTTTGGCTGTAAGCTGTTATGCATGTCATTATGTTGACATAGCAATTTCCATAATCCACACTCTTGAATATGACTTCTGCATCTGTTTAGAACTGACATTTTGAAGAATATTTTGATTTCACCTATACTTCCTAATTTCATAGTCTGTATTTTCCTTATTTGAATTACATATTGCTAGACATTAAAAAGCTGCTCTTGAGGATCTGCTGGAAGTATGTGACAGAGAGATGCTTGGCATGTGGTTGATAGCTCCTCCCAGTGCATGATTCAGTCACATCACTTTCTTTTTGAAAGTTCTGTGATTTATTCTGGGATGTTTGGCAAGATTTGCACATGTGTAGGCAATGATGAAGAACTGCATCACAACCCACTACTCCTATTTCGGATAGTCACATCCCATTGTCAGAAAAAATGTGAAAAAGCTGCCTCTTAAAATTGGGCACATAAAATGCTTTTGTGAATAGCTTCCTGGTTGCTTTCCTGTTTTCAGTGCATGTTTGAGGGTGCTTGGGAGTGAAGGTATTGACATGGTTATTGTTTGGGCCACAGATGGGTCTTAGAATCTGTGGCAACGTTAGTTATACCTGGCCTATGAATGGTCATCATTGTTTTTGAGTGTTAAATCTTTTTCTGTACTTAAATAGAAATTTATTCTCTTTCCTATGTTATATGGATCTATTATATAAAAATATAGAGAGCTATTGAAATATATGGAAAATTAAGGTAGATGCCCATGGCTTCATGTTGAGATACTTCGCAGGCAGTCAGTGATTTATCAGTGTTATTGTTTAGAATTATGCAGTACAGAATTGTAGCTATGCTCCCGTTTTACCCTCCTCACATACAACCGATGATTCGTGGAATCACCTGTGGCAGTACCCCTTAAAATCCCTTTGAATTTGAAAACCTAGAACCTTTCCTTTGACATAACATTTTATACCTATGTTTCCTAAAGAAGTAGACCACAATATTTTCTTCTTTAGGATTTTGTCATTCAGATACAGTAGTCTTTTAATTAAATACTGAACGCTAACCTATTTTTCTTTATTGTTCTAAAACCAAATCCTTAAATTTACTTACACTTAAAAATACTATTGGGCCATTTATTTTGTCTCACAGTGTTTAAAATAATATTGCTTTTATTTTTACTGGGTTTTTAAGACCAAACATGGCTAAATATACTTGGCTAATACTGCATACTAATACTCAAGTGTTCCTGTATTCATTTTGTATTTGATTTTATGGTTAAACACAAGATACAATTTTCTTTAACATTTAAAAACGCTTTGGACAAGAGAGAATGAATATTTCACAGCCCTTGGCATATTATAGTCAATGAATGGTTGTTGAATGAAGAAAATAGTTTTAGGATACTGGATAAAAAGGCTTATCTGAAGCAAGACATATTTCTTATATGCGAGATGCTATATTTTATCAGTTGTCATTGAATATAAAGTAAAAATGACTCCAAGAGTGATGATTGGATTTACGTCAATAATGAACCATTCTTTTGCTTTGTGTTCTTGTTCGTGTTAAGTTTACTTTAAACAAATCCTGCCTATTTTTATTCTGTAATTCTGCTTTCTGGTGTTTTCATTAACTAGATATTTCTAATGAGAAACAGTATCTTTAATGAGAAAAACTAACAAAGTGGAGTTTTTTTTTTTAAGTATAGTTTGGTGTAGAGTAAGATGGAAGAAAAGTTAATTTTTAAAAATTCATTCACTGTGTTTTATTTTGATTGTTATAGGTTGGCTGCCTGGCTATTCATGTAAAGAACTGCAGACATTTTACGCCTAAGAGTATCCTTTCTTTTGATTTAAGAACTGTACTATGGTCGTATATCACTGTTTCAATTATATGTTGCTGCATTACAAAACACTCCAAGACTTAGTTGCTTAAAACATTAACTATTTTGTTATCAGTTACTATCTGTGTGTTCATTAGGTGGTACTTCTGCTTCAGTATATCACAGCTGGGACTGTAGTCATCTGCAGTTCAGGAGGGCTAGAATGTCTAAAATGGCTCTTTTACGTGTCTGGTGCTTTAGTGAGCATGGCTGGGAGACTGGACTTAGCTGGGGTGCTGAAATGGTTGGACCTTTCTCTCTTTCCATGTGGTCCCAGGGTCTTGTCTTTCATCATTTTTTTCCTGCATTAATTTTGATTTTTATAAAAATATATGTTACATTAAAAATTATTTATCTTGATTACTGAAGTTTTTGGTGTCCCTTAAATTTTGCACCCTGGCACGTGCCTCTCTCCCCCAACCTAGTCCCAGCCTTGGTCATGTCCATTGCGTGTTCAGGTCGTCACAGGGCCAGGCAGATTCAAGAGCAGAGGAAAATACACTCCACTTTCTGATGAGAGTGACAAAAGATTTTCAGCCCTCTGTAATCCACCTCAGTCACCATATAAGTTAAAGGAAAAATACATATCTTCTTGGATGATAATACTAATTTATTTCTAAGTAATAACTGTGCTTCTCTTAAACATTGTTTAAAGGATTTATTTATCTTGGTGCCTTTAAACAAGCTGAATCTTTATTATTAGATTTAGTAAGCATAAAACCAGTCTCATTATGAAGACTTGGTGTTTTCTCTTTTAAGTAAAGTTAATTATTGAAGAGAATTCTATATAAAGAGATTTTTGAAGATAATTAAGTCATAAAAACAAAGTTGTTTTAATGCATGGAATGCTACAAAAGATAAAAGTACAGACCCAAATAGTAGTATAAGTGAAGGATATAGTGAGGTGAATTAGAGAGTAAAATGCTGCTTTAAATTTTGTTGTCTTAAAATTAAAAGTAAATTACTCTCAAGTGACATATTTTTTGAATTTCTACATAATTATGCTTAGAAAAAAATTTCAACTATATATTGCAAACATTTAGTCACCTTGAAAAATAATATATAGAAAAATTTGCAAAGGAATTATAGTGGAAATGTGAGGATAAAAATATGAGAAGTGATCTAAGGAAGAATCAATCCTTCTTTTCCTACTTATATTGTGCCTACCATTGATGGACAAAATACTATTTTAAAAGACTTTTTTTATTGTTTAATATGCTCTACAATTACCTTATTTATTTATTTGATTATTCTTAGCTTTTGGCATGAATTGTTTAATGGATTAGTTTTATAATGAGTTATTGTTCAATTACAACAAAATTTGCTTCCTAAATATCTGTTTTTCAGTTGGTTTACAACATTACAATAATTTCTTCATTCGCATCTCTATAAACAATGTTGTGAAATCTACAAAACTTTGTAGCTTGCTACCCCAAAACAATGAAAAGAACACTATAATTAAGTTTAACGAAGTGAAGTATTTTTCCGTACAGGTAAAGTTCTCTTCTAGATATAAGAATGCATCTTTATAGTCTCAAATATTCTACACTAATTATGCTTTTATAGGGGATAGGAAAGAAACAAACACAGTGACTTTTTATTTGATATTTTACATTATTCTGTTTCTATATTATGGGCTATACTGGTATTTTTTTAATAAACAGCTTGCTGTAAAATGCATAGTCTTGGTGGTCTTCTTCCCTGTGATTCTGAATGTTTATCACACACCCATTTTTCATCATCTTGCTCTCCCCCTCCCGCCTACCCTCTTCCACCCTGTTGTAGTCAGTTTGGGCTGCTATAACAAGTTACTGTAGACTGGGTGGCCTATACAACAAACATTTATCTCACCTTTCTGAAGGCTGGGAACTTCAAGATCAAGGTGCTGGCAGATCTGGTGTCTGGTGAGAGCTTGCTTTCTGGTTTGCCAATGGCCGTCTTCTCATCGTATAGTGACATGGCAGAGAGCAAAGAGAGATCATCTTTCTTGTGTCTCTTCTTGTAACCTAATTACCTCTCAAACACCCCGCCTACAAATACCATCACGTTGAGGATTCAGGCTTCAACATGTGAATTTGAGGGAACGCAAATGCTCAGTCCATAGCACACCTTTTCTTTTGTTCATCTCCTCCTCCTTCCCTCTCTCCCTTCTTCTTTTATAGACTCTTATTATTTTTGCATGGATTAACTTATTCAGTCTTTATAACAATCCCCAAAATATATATACTCTTATTATCATCCTTATTTTGCAGATGAGGAAACAGGTACTGTAAGGTTTAAAGAACTTCCTTAAAGTTGTAGAACTAGTAAGTGGTGGAGCTGGGAATGTAGGCAGTCTGGCTTCAGACTACACTTCATCAAACTGCCTCTCACACCAGAGCTTGCTATGCTAAGAGTTTGCTTCTGTTTACAGTTAAGCTTCTTAGAATCTTAAATGTATCTCAGAGTTTTCTTTAAAATGAGCGATACTATTTCATGTAACTGAAGGATTCATTGATTAGTCCAGTTGTTTTCTAATAGTTTTATTACGTTAGTTGAATTTTGATGAAATCCTAAAACATTTCCTCTATGCTCCATTTTTTTTTTTTAAACAAACTTCGTTTTGCTTAAGTGTTGAGTATTGAAGATTGTTCTTTAAGCGTAGGTTTAAAAAAAAAACGGAGCACAGTTTTGCTAAAGGCAGTCCATATGATTTCTTTTACTCTACAAATAGTTTTCTTAAGCTTCATTGCCCAGTTTTCAAGAATTATGTGGATATATGTCCATTTAAATAAAATTTGAAATTAATACTGGAAAATAATATAAATTAGTAAGGTGCTTATCTTCATTAGCATGGTTAAAATCTTTTTGCTGTATTTATTTTAATAGGAACTATTAGTTTTAGCATATTATGAGGAAAGTTTTAATGGACCTCTAATGGAAAGTTTGGGAATGACTTAGTAATAATTACATAGAAAATTGCACAAGAAAAAGAAACATACAAGAGCAAGACACATTTTAACTCCAGGGAAGTTAAAAAATGTTACAGGAAAGGAAATATAATCATTGTAACTATACTGTTAAACTCTGAAAAGTAGTTACATATATATAATAATATAAACGTTAAGTATTGATCTAACAAAAAAGTATGATATATAATATATTGGAGGAATGAGGGGAAGAGAAATGTGAAAATTGTAGGGAGAGGGTGTTGAAAGCTAATATTTTTCTTTCACAATAAGCCGTCAATAGATCGTATCTAAAACTAAAAAATCAATTAACAATAATAGAAACATGTTACTTAGAAACATGATTTCATGGCAAAAAACAGAAATCCCTTACAAACATTGAAGAGTGGCTTATGAGGAGTGGAAATTAGGAGGTGGGTAGAGTAGTGTTCTTAAATTATACCCAGGATTTAATTTATGGAAATATGACTGACATGAAGAGGCTAATGCTGTTGAAAGGAGAATTTATTACTTATATTTCCTGAGAAAAAGGGACACACTGCACCACACAGGGCCTCGGGGGAAGTATCAGGGTCGTCAGGAGGCAGAAGACAAGCGAGGGGAGAGCCAAGTCCAAAGCCTTTATTGGGGTTTCCTTGAGAAAAGCAGTGCAGGGCAGAGTCACCAGTTTGGCTAGTTTGAACAATCCAGCAGGCTTTGGGTTGTAGGGGTAGACTTTGGATTGCCTGGTACCTGGCCCTGCTACGATTTAGGGCAGGGAAATATTGACTGTACGTGAGAATTAGATAAGGAGGTGGTTAGGGCTATAGATTTGGGATTGGTTAGTTTGCAAATGAAAGATGTGCTTCCATCTAGCCAAGCCCTTTGCTATCTCTAGGAATTGGCTCACCTGGGGAGGGAAAGTCTCTCTCTGGCCAGCAAGCTTTTTAAGATGTCAAAACATCATAAAATACAGGAAAAAAAGGTTAATACAGGCGTGAGAAAAAAAGCTGTTTCTTGGTTTTAACCATTGTAGAAATGTTTGACTTTTAAACTATGTACTATGTACCTAGGATAAAATACAATTATATTATATATACTTTAAGACTTTAATTTGGTAAAACTTACAAAATAAATCTAGGTTAAAAATAAAACAAAAACATACAAACCAAAAATAAAAAGGAATAGTGAGTGGATTTAATCCAGTTTAATTGTTCTGTTAAAACCCATATTGAAGAATGAATGGTAGTGGACTTCTGGTCTGGCCATGTTGGAATAGCTGATATTGGATATACTCTTCTGCTCTAAACAACTATAAACTGAGTAATATATGTGAAGGAACTATGTTCTGGTATTTTACAGTGGAAATTGGAGTGCTGTAGTCCTTAAGAGAAAGGAAGCGCAAGAGTGAGCTCCACGTTTACAGCAGCTTTCTGTCTGGCAGGGCATCTGGCACAGGAAAGTGAAACCCAAGCAGATAATGGCAGTCTTGCTTGGTGGAGGAAGCACAGGAAACAGATGAGAGTTTTGGGCTGCTAAGGTGGCTGGAATTTGTAAGGCAGGGTCCTAGAGAGGAGGGAGCAGCAGATAAGAAACCCCAGAAATCTGTGTAGCTATTCACTTAGGTTCTTGACTGGATCCTAAGGTCGGCATGGGCAAGGGGAGTTTATTCTAGGAGAAGTTACAGAGAACAGATGCTGGAGAACTGAGAGCCGAGTGGAGATTTCTGAAGTCACAAATTCAGAGTCATGGAGTCTGAGGGGTCTAGCTGGAGAGACCTTGCTGAACATTCCCAGTGTTCAGTTGAGATCCCATAAAGGTGAAGTCTTAGGAATGAGGACCCTGTCCTAAGAGTAAGGGTTAAACCTCAGGACCGAGGACAAAACTGAAATAGACCCATCCTCAGACCAGGCTGTCATAAGATCAAGATGATCTGCTAGTAATTAATTGCCTTTCAAAAAAGAACTCAGTACTTTTTAGAGAAAGATATAAAAACCCAGAGTCTCTACACATCTACATTGTATGCTTTACAATGCCCATTATACAATAAAACATTGCTACTCCTGGGGAAATAAAAATAGACAATAGAGGTAAACCCACAGGTGGCCCAAATGTTTGAATTAGCAGATTAGAACTTTATAGTAACTATCATACATGTGTCAAAGGGAAAAAGGAAGACAAAATGAATGATCCGAATGGGAATTTTGAAGGGAATGGAAACTCTAAAAAGAACCAAATGGAAATTCTAGATCTGCAAAATATGATATTGAAATGAAGAATTCATTCGAAGTGCTTAAAAGCATTCTGGACAGCGCAAAAGAAAGGATCTGTGAACTGAAAGACAAGTCAATAGAAATCATTCAAATCAAAGCTCAGAGAGAAAAAAAATGAAAAAATAGAAGAGACCAGAGGGCAATATCTCTCAATTTACAGATGTGTAATTGCATCACAGGAGGAAAGAAGGCACGTATTTAGTGTATTAGTATTTTAGAGGTTTTTTTGCTAAACATTTTCCAAAATTGATGAAAGACATCAATCCCATAGATTCAAGAAACTGAGTGAATCTCGAGCAAAGTACAAAAATGATCACACCTAAGTACATCATAATCAAACTGCTAAACACCAAAAATAAAGAGTAAATCTTAAAGGTAGCTGGAGGGGGAAAAACACATTCAGGTGAACGACAGTAACGGTAGACTTCCCATCAGAAACAGTGGAGGTCAGGGGACAAGGGAATGCCATCTTTCAAGTGCTAAAAAAATAAAGTCAACCTAAATTTCTAAATCCGGTAAAAATATTCAAAAAGATGGTGCAAGACAAAAGCTGAGAGAATTTGTGTCTAGAAGATCTGCATTATAATAAAAGTCAGGAAGATCCAAGTTGGAGAGAAATGATCCCCGATACAAGCCCAGGTACGCAGGAAGAAACGAAGAGGATAGGTAATGGTGAATATATTCGTAAAAAAGCCTGTTTTAAAAATGTTCTACAAAAGACTCTTGACTATTTACAAGAAAATAATGATGGTGAATGGTAGAATTTATAGCATATGTAAAAATGGAATATATGACAAGAATAGCACAAAAGGTGAGGAGGTACAAGTGGAATTGTATTATTTTGCATGATATGGTATAATTTTAATTCAAGATATACTGTGGTATATTAAGGATGCATAGTATAATCCCTAGAGCAACCATGAAAAACAGTACAAAAATGTATTAGAAAGGAAGAAAGCAGAGAGAAGTGGGGGGAGGAGAGGTGGAAGGAAGGGAGAGAAGAAAGTGCAAACTTAATTAGCATTGAGTTTGAAAACTTAGAAAATCACAGTAAAACCTTAGGAGAGCAGGAGGAAGAAATTAATACAGAGAAAAGAAATAAATGACTTATAAACAGTAGAAGTATTAAAGAAATACTAGAGGTGGTTGTTGATAAAACTAATACAGTAGACACAATTCTGGTAAGTCTCATCAAGAAAATTGTGCAACATTTGGAATATAGGTATAAATATGGAAGTGGTTTTAAAAAACTGTAAGAGAATACCGTATATAATGTGATTCTAAAAATTTGAA